AGACAGAGTCTCACACTGTCACCCTCGGTAGAGTGCCGTACCATCACAGCTCAAAGGAACCTCTAGCTCTTGGGCTTAGGTGATTCTCTTGCCTCAGCCTCCAAAGTAGCTGGGACTATAGGTGCCCACCACAAATCCCGGCTATTTTTTTGTTGTAGTTTGGCTGGATCCAGGTTTGAACCTACCATCCTCCCCACTGAAACACAGGCATTGTACATATACAATTTCTATAGTAAACATCATGATACAATGAGCAAGAAAAGCTGTGTTAATAAAAATGGGTAGTCAAGAGGAATTAACATTGATTTATCTAAGGTAAACACTGCAACTATAATTTAACATCATACTAACATTAAGTTAAAAAAAAAGGTTAGCTATTGGTGGCACCTGTAGGGCGGAGGGGTGCTGGCCACATACACCCAGGCTGGCAGGCTTGAGCCTGGCCCAGGCCAGCTAAACTACAGCTGCAACAACAACAACAAAATAGCTGGGCCTTGTGGTGGGCACTTGTAGTCCCAGCTACTTGGGAGGCTGAGGCAAGAGAATCACTTAAGCCCAAGAGTTAGAGGCTGCTGTGAGCTGTGATGCCATAGCACTCGTCCCAAGGGCAACATAGTGAGACTCTGTCTCAAAAAAAAAAAAAAAAAAGGTTAGCTATTTAAAATGTGTGGTCTTAAATTGCTGACTAGTAAAATATTACAGGGATAAAATAAAAGTAAAGAAGATTTTAACTTTAAGTTTGGGAGCACATACATTTCAAATCTCTTATAATGGGGCCAGGCACAGTGGCTCACACCTATAATCCTAGCACTCTGGGAGGCTGAGGTGGGTAGGTTGCTTGAGCTCAGGAGCAAGACCCTGTCTCTAAAAATAGCCAGGTGTTGTGTCAAGCATTTGTAGTGCCAGTTCCTTGGGAGGCTGAGGAAAGAGGATTGCTAGAGCCCAAGAGCTTGAGATTTCTGTGAGCTATGACGCCACAGCACTCTATCCAGGGCGACAAAGTAAGATTCTGTCCCCCCCCTCCAAAAAATCTCTTACGAAAACTCAGACTAGAAAATAGAAACATATATTTACATATAATCCCCCTTACTCCACCAGGGATTAGTGAAGTAAAATAAATTTAATATTAAAAACATCTTTTGGCTGGATGCAGTGACTCACGCCTGCATTCCAAGCACTCTGGGAGGCTGAGGCGGATGGATTGCTTGAGCTCACGAGTTGGAGACTAACCTGAGCAAAAGCGAGACCCCCGTCTCTACTAAAATAGAAAAAAAGAGGCAAGAGGATTGCTTGAACCCAAGACTTGGAGGTTTTTGTGAGCTATGACGCCAACACACTCTACCAGGGGGCGACAAAGTGAGACTCTGTCCAAAAAAAAAAGGAAAAATCCTGCAAAAAACAGGTGTTAGCATCCTGAATTACACAGTGTCTCTGGAATGTTTATTCTAATAAATAGAAAAATCCAAGAACCAGCTGTTAGCGTGGATCACTTACTTAAGCCATTCAGGTTGGCAATTTTTTCAATGCAGTTTGTAGACAGGGACAGCTTCCTTTAAGAAAACAAAGAAAAATATGAATTAATATGAAAAACTTAAATGGTATATCAGAAATTATTCCTCAGTAATAGTACCCATGGAAGATAATATTTAAATCATATTTCTTTTTTACACTATATCCTTTTTTTCACTAACTCACGGCATTTATTCCTTCATTTTGAAATATTTTACTTCTCTGATTATAAAAGTTAATCATTGTAGAAAATGATAGTAGAAAAGTAAAGAAAAAACCCCTTTGAGGGAAATCTGGTGTTATCTGTTAAATTTTTTCCCAGGTGCAGTGGTTCACATTGTAATCCCAGCTACTTATGAGGCAAAGGTAGGAGAATCCCTTGAGCTTGGGAGGTCAAACCCAGCCTGGGTGATATAGTAAGACTCTGTCTCAGAAAGAAAAAATGTTTTTAATGCATGTATTTTTTTGACCTAGCAATTCACTTTTAGGAATATAGTTTACTGAAATACTAATACAAATGCCAAAAAACAGTAGATTATTTCTTGTATTAATATGATTATAATACCAAAAAAACCCTGAAAAAAATCTATAAATACCTGTCAACTAAGGAACAGAAAATGAAATACTAAACTTCCACTAAAACAAATAAGATTGAGCTACAAATACTGACTTGGAAAGATGTCCATAAATTAATAGTTAGGTTTAAAAACAATTTAGCAGGCTCAGCATCTATAACATAGGGGTTACGGCTGGCGGGCTTGAACCTGCCAGGGCAACTAAACAACAACGACAACAAGAACAACAAAAAAAAAACTGGGCATGTGGCGAGTGCCTGTAGTTCTAGATACTTGGGCAGCTGAGGCAAGAGAATTGCTTAAGCCCAAGAT